TAAGAAAAAGCCATGCATATTGATGTGGCTCAGTATAATTTTTAACAATGGTGTTTTGTTTCACCCTTACGATAGATTAGTGAGGAGTTATGTGAAATCAGACATGAAGCATTAATTGCACTGAAATAAGAATAAACCTCTAGTGGCCATCAGTCAGAGGTGGTATTCAGCAGGTTCTGACCAGTTCAGAGAACCGGCAAACACCATCTCAGACTGCCCCTGCCCCCATCTATTCTCTGCCTCCTGAGTCCCAGCTGTTCGGCTGGGTCTCCTTTTGTTGCCCTGCACAGGAGAATGGAGCTGGGAATCAGGTTAGTGGGGTGGGGAGGGAATGGAGATTTTATAGTATCCTTCCCCTGCCACGCCCACCAAGCCTCACCCACAGAACCGGTAGCAAAAATATTTGAATCCCACCACTGCTATCAATGTGGCAAAGTGGTTGTCTTTCTGTATTCTATGTCAATTGTCAAGACTCTTTTTGATTGCAGCAGGATATAGAAATATGTGTAATAAGTAAATAAATAACCTTTACTTTTCCAATATATATCCATTTGCCTGTACTACATCATTCTTCTGAAACCTATAATTTGCAACATTCTACCCAGTTGTGTTATAACACTGTTTTGTGTTTCTTACTATCAAAAACCATTGAATTTAGCTAGACATTTGACAAGTGGAGAAGAAAACTAGGGTAGTGGAACATTCATTCTTTAGTTGAAAATTAGCATTCTGCTATTTTCAGTCAGTTTATTGACAAAATGTTCAACTTACTTGCAACTGTATGAATACACGCTGTCTGCGCACAGAGCACTGCACAAAATGAATGTGCAGCAAATGACTAAAAGAATTACATTTGTTGACTTTCAGCATAAATCTTTCCCAGGAATGTCTCATGGACTGGTTCCAGGTGTTGGTGGAGTGAGTTTGGCAGCAGTTATTATTCAGAATGATCTGAAATCTTGCAAGGTCTTGGCTTTCATCTGTTTTTCAATAAAGACACACTCTATGTTTATAATCCATAATATATCTATTGTATTCTTACCTTAATTTTCTACCCTAGAAGAGTGCTAATAATTATTTTAGTATTTATTTTATTTATGTATTTCTTTTTTCTAGGAACTGTGACTTATGTGAGGACCTCACTTGGTTTTATTCTCACAACAGCTAGTTTCTGAGATAGTTCAGGCAGAGAATGAATGGCTTGCCCAAAGACATCCACCCATGGTTCAGTAAAATGGACCTGAACTTCCCCATACTTATAAACATTGCAGTGTCCTGAAACTTTATCTTATCTGAAGATAATGTATCTGTGGAAACTATGGTGCCACTTAGAAATCTTCACTGCCAGAGATTCAGAGGAAAAATGATAAATCTCTGAATCTCCCCATTTCTTCAAAAAGCTGGAACATTGTTCACATTTTAGGGGATCGCTAATTAGAGCCCCGGTGGCACAGTGGTTAAAAGTGCAATACTGCAGGCTACTTCTGCTGTCTGCCGGCTGCCTGCAGTTTGGCAGAACAAATCTCACCAAGGCTCAAGGTTGACTCAGCTCTCCATCCTTCCGAGATTGGTAAAATGAGAACCCAAATTGTTGGGGGCAATAGGCTGACTCTGTAAACTGCTTAGACAGGGCTGCAAAGCACTGTGAAGCAGTCTATAAGTCTAAGTGCTGTTGCTGTTGTCCTTATTTCTTGTTTTGATTTGATGCTCATCTATTCTCACATTTTCATTTTTCTTGCATTGCTCAGAGTTAATTCTACTTCATTTATTCCTGAATTGCTCTGTATTATGTCCCAACTATGTTTAAAAAGCTCGTATATGGTTTGTTTGTTTTTAAAATGGAACTTCTCAAGGATAATACAGGTAATCCTCAATTTATAATCACAGTTGGGACAAGAACTTCCATCACTAGGTTATGCAATCATTAAGTGAATCTTTATGTGATGATGCCCAATTTTACAACCTTTTTTTACTGCAGTCATTAAGTGAATCATATATTGTTAAGTGAAGCCAGCTTCCCCCATTTAGTTTGCTTGTTGGAAGCCACCGGGGAAGATCACAAATGGGGAACACAACTCCCAAGATACTGTAACAATCATAAATACATACCGGTTGTCAAGCTCCAAAATCATGATATAACTCAGGGAATGCTGTGACAGTTGTAAGAGCAAGGATGAGTTGTACATCCCTTTTTTCAATACCATTCAACAAATCCTACAGTTTCAGTATTTCAGTAATGGAATTCATTGTAACAGACAGTTGTTAGATCGATCATCTTCCTACACTCAGAATTTAAATTAATCTTGCTTATTTCCCATACTCTTATATGCTTTTGTATAGAAATTCAGGCTATGTTTAAAAGTAAAATCAAAGCATCTTGAAAACAGTGTAGTTATTACCAGACGTTAGAATGATTTTATTTGTCTGACAGGACTTGTTCTTACCTCATTTTTTTCTTAAACCTAGTCATTTCTGTAGTAAACTAAAAGTGCTATGGGCATAATACGTCTTAATTTCAGCAAAGCATTTATACTCCATGGCATTTGTAGCAAGTTAGTTATAGGCTGAATGATAATTAAGTGGCTTGCTAGGGGAATGGAAATGGAAAGTGTGCTCACCCATGGTTCCTCTAAGAGTGGATGGTATTGAGTGGAATGGCATCAAGGATCAGAGAATTTGGAACGGGGTCAGAAAAAAATGACATAGATGGTCCTAGGAATAGAAACTGAGTTCTGTGAAGAGAGATTGAAGGAAATGGGATGATTAGCTGTGAGGAAAGACAGATGTAATAGTACTTTCAAAGGTATCACATAGAAAATGTAGAGTTCTGTGTGTAGAACATGGGCAAATAGATTCAAGTTATAGGAGGGCAGTTTCTGATTGTTTTTTTAAAAAAGCTTATTCCATTAAGGGCAGTTTGATGGGAGAAGCAAGTACACAGAAAAGTGTACACAGCTGAATTAAGACCAAATGCCCTTGAATTCCTTTGACCCTCATCTAACCCCAAGCAGTGCTAACCATTGAGAAGATTCCTGTGCATAGGCATCATGAGCAGTAAATAAGTTTAATTGGATGTTCACTGGGCTGACACTCTCCAAATAATCATCAAAACCCTTTGGTAATTTGTTTGTTTATTGTTAAACTTGTATACCACCCAATGACTCTGGGTGGCTTATAATCAAAGAAATTACAATAAAACCTATAAAATATAAAAGTACAGTACAATGGATGGAATGGAATGAAGTAACAGTTCTCCCTCTTCCTCACCAAAGCCCTAAGTGAAGAGCCAGGTCACCTTGGCTCTTCTAAACAATAGCAGAGTGGGACCATCCAGATCCCAATGGGAGCCTCATTGCAGATGCTGCTACAGAGAAGGTGTATGTACTTCTAGGGTCCTCATAGATAACATTGAGTAATGAAAAAAACCCAGAGTGTGTTAAATTGACCAGACAGATATTGTGGGAGACAGGTGGTCCCTCAAGTAACAAGCCCCTTTGACATGTTATGTTATTTTGTTGTGTTATGTTACATTATATTGTTATGTTATAACTCCTTTATAAAAGGTGCACCATCATAGTCCTTGCTTGTGCCAAAGCCACCTTGTCTATAGTTGGCACCATGAAGACTTTTCCTCTGCAGACATCTGCGCTTAAGATGTGAAGGTTGGGTCCTAAGCCAGCTGATGTCATATGCATGATGACAAAGAAAAAGATTTACCAAGCCTGCTTCTGTGGAATATGCCTCCTTTTGTGTATGACTGAATAGGCCTATTTCAGTAACTATTTATCTATGCTAGAACTGTCCTGATGACACATTGAATTCCCTTTGTGCTGGACTCCAAAAATCTTAATACCTATAGAGGTTTGGACAATAAATAGTTCATATTCCTCTGGGTGGAAGCTTTCCTAACTCTCCTGGACAACTAAAAGTGCCTTTATTTTCTGGTTTTAGAGATGCATTGAGCAGTAATCAGTTCAAGTGAACTCTGTATAGAATTTGTTTGAAGGAGTACTCGTGCTTGCTTTGATTTCCCCTTATGTAACTGTTTCAAGTTTTATTGAAGAATTAAATATTTTTTGCAGAAGTTGTAGTTGGACCCAAAGACAATGTACAGTGACTTAAGATTTAGGAGGAAGTCTAAGTCTGCTTTTAGGTGATGGATGGGAAAGTTTTGATTTCTCAATAGAGTAGAATGCCAAGATATGTAGGAAGGAAGGAAGGAATAGCAAAATGAATCACCAGAAATGTGAAGAAGGGGGAGAGGGGAAAGGAAATTCCTCTCATACTTTCTGACTAAGGTAGTTTGTTCTGTGACCACCATCTGCTTTTTGTTCAGGGCACATCTCTAGCAGCTTGGGGTCCCTCTGATACTATGAGGAAGACCTAAATGACTCTTTACAGACTGCTAGGTTCACTCACCCCACAGGTGCTGACAGTGTGTAGAGTTTATCCAGTTGCCATCGGCATGTCTGAGGAGGATCCTCAATCTGTACAGGACTTCAGACTTTTGGGAACGAAAGCAAAATACTGAGAGGCTGTTAAGCTCCCACACAGAACTCTGCTCTTGTTCTGGGATCTTCTGCTTTCCCTTCTGTCTTGCCCATTTCTCTGACTCAGCACCCACAGTCTTTCCCTGTTTTCCATTTTCCTTCTTGTTTCCTTTTCTGATGAAGCCTCTGGTTCAATCCTTTCTTGCTGCATCTTTCTGACGCTTTCTCACATGTTCACCTCCAACAGGATTGAAGAAGTTGTTTGACTTGAGTGCAGCCAATTTTCTATCATTACAACTTTGACTTTTGATCAGGACTTTGGGATATTTTTTTTTAAGTAGCACATTGTGCTTCTTGAAAAGGTTTGAAAAATCTCTGGTTTCAACCCTAAGTGATTGTGGAAACAAGACTTCCCATAAACAAATTTTGGATATAGCCATGTCTTATCAGCGCTCCCATTGTTCTTTTGCCCAACATGTGTTCTCTTGTGTACTTTTCCCTTCCTTGCAGACCTATGCCCACATACCGAGTGGATGCAGATAAAGGCTTCAATTTCTCTGTGGGAGACGATGCTTTCGTGTGCCAGAAAAAGAACCACTTCCAAGTCACCGTGTACATTGGTATGATTGGAGACCCCAAATATGTCAAGACTCCTGAGGGCCTGAAGCCACTTGAATGCTTCTATCTGAAACTGCATGGGGTGAAGGCAAGTCTAAGAATAGCAAACTGCATCATTTAAAAGGATAGGTGGAAGCCTGATGGGAAAACTTTAGTAAATGTGTAAATGTGTCTATTAAAAATAAGATTTTTGAGGGGTGGTATACAGATTTTTTTTAGGGGCTTATTTACAGTTTCATGAACTGTTAAGTAAAAATGGGTAGAACAATCCAAGTTATTGAATTACAAATGCATATATGAGTTTGTTTGTGTGGCATATTTGACTAGCTAAGTTCTAAGTCAAAGTGGTTGACAAAGCATTTGCTTTTAATTAAATTTAATACATATTTCATAAAATAAATTCTCATGAAAATTACCACAGTTAGACAACCATTAAAACAGAAAAGATACCCAGTATATACATTGGTCCTTAAAAGTTTGTGAACCCTTTGAATCCTAAAAATTAATAAGAATGACCCAATTAAACACATATATTTACTGAGGAAAATGATACAAAACTACATATTTACATGTGGCAATATTAATATGGCTTTGGAGCCTGTTGGATGGCTGTATTGATTGACACATCTTTGCACTTTATTTTATTTATTAATTAAACTCATAGGCTTGCTTGCATATTGTCTTGCCTGCTTATTATGTTTTCTGGTTTTAAATTTTTGTTTTAATTAAGTTTTAATTAGGTTTTTAAAAGGTTATTGTTTTTATTGATATTTGTATTATTTATTAATAGTTCTGCTTGGTTGTCCATAGTCACAAATATGAGATGGATGGCTATACAAATTGAATGAATGAATGAATGAATGAATGAATGAATGAATGAATGAAAACATTATGGACCCAACCACCTCTCTCTTTTCAGTAGCCTTTACAAAACCAAGGGATGTGTGACTAGTAGACAGGTAATCAGATTAGCAGAATCTTTGCCACTTTTGAAATTTCAGATATTTTTTAAGTTAACAGCTGTTACCTTTTTTAAAAAATTCCATTACTATACAGACATAGTCTTTATGAATTTAGAATACAACTTTAAAAATCAAATAGAAAGCATATGAGAATTACAGCTCTAGCATTTTGTTGTACTTGAGGCATAAATTTCTATGATGTATTAGACACCATCTATATATCAATTTGTAGACATTCAAAGGGGAGTATGGATGGAATATACTTTTGTATCCAGATCTTTTGTAGGAATGCCCTTTATCAATTCCTTTTTCTAATATAATGTAATAAAGAATTACATTAAGCTGTTGTATTTGTATTATATTTTGCTCCCACTTCTGTGAAGTTAATTATTAGAATTTAGAGCATTAACATTTGTGCAGTCCTTACTGAACTATTTTTCAATTGTAATTTGCTAAGTATATGCTTATAAATAGTGACAAATGATCCGATTTAGACAATACATTCTTTAGTAGTTCCTCTGTGATTTTATTTGTTGTAGGAGTTATGATCTAAACCAGTGGTTCTTAACCTTTTTGAAAGAATCGCCCCCTTGAGCCATCGAGGAAGTTATAATCACCCCCTTCCCCTAACATAACCTCTCAATCACAACACAGGGAAATAATTCTTCAATTTCTGCAAACACGTTTTTTGTTTTCTTTAAAATTGTCATCAGGACATATCGATGCAAATAATTTATTTCCAGTCTTTTTTCCATATCTCAACTGTGTGAAAAATTTTGATGCCACCCATCACTTTACTCCCAAACTTCGTGATACATGTATTTCATTATTATCTTATTTATTCAAGACACTTAAATGCAATGACCACTGAAAACAAAATTCAATTGCACGAAAATGAAATGCCCCCAAACCAGTAACATTTAATTATTTAATTACAAGTGAATTTTAAGACGCGAAAAGAAATATTAAACGGGCATAAGAACAAACCGCAATGCAGGAACTAAGAATTTCAAGACGAAAACTCTGAAACTAAATTAAGCTTCGAGGAAAATATATATTCATGCACACTGCAAAAAGGGTTAAAAAGACACAAAGAAAACTTTTACAGAAGGAAAGCAACAAAAATCAGAGCGACAAATATAATGGGTAGAAGTGATAGAGGCTGCTGCGCAACACGCATGAAGATGAGCGATGCGTATTCACATATGTACGGCGTTCTGTACTGAAGTTAGCTGGAGGAACATTTTAAAACACAGTTCAATCCACTAATAGCGAGCGATCTGATGTTTTTTTTACGACAGATATACAGTGGTTCACTGTACGAAAAAAGTCTCAAAAGTGTCCCCAAAACCTCTCGCTCTATCGCCCCCATATTGCCTCCCTTCCATTCGTTCACCCTCGCATAGCCTCTTTTTGTTCCATCCCCCCCTGAAAAATGAAATCACCCCCTGGGGGGCAATATCACCCAGGTTAAGAACCACTGATCTAAACTATTTATTACATTTATTGGCTGCCCATCTTACCACTGAGTAATTCTGGGCAGCTCTACACAACAAACTATAATTTGCATCTAGGAAGTACATATATGTATGTCTGTGTTCATATGTTCCTTATATTCTTCCTCTCCCATAAGAAGGATAATGGCCAGTCTCAAATACATATAATTATTTTACTGCAGTGCTTTAAAATGAAAGTGCCTCTTTAAGAATGAATACACTTAAGAATAGAGCATAAATGTACTCATAACTGTCTTTAAAATGGATTTGGATCTTTCTTTCTTTTTCTTTTCAGTTGGAAGCATTAAACCAGTCAATCAACATAGAACAGTCTCAGTCGGATCGCAGCAAGAGACCTTTTAATCCTGTCATGTGAGTGCTACTCAGGGCTTCAGGGAGAAGTCAGGCACTGGGGTCAAGCTGTGTATTTACTTCTATGTTTAGTCCTCTAGTCTTCCTTCCACTTTCTTTTTAAACGCTGGTTCTCTCTACCTCTACCTCTTGAACCATCCACAGGTTTTTATAAAATGTCCTTGTCCTGTTCCAACTGTTTAATTGACAGGTGCAGAACCTCCATGATTCTAATGTTCTCTCCTTTTTTAGGGTCAATTTGCCACCAGAGCAAGTCACAAAGGTCACAGTGGGGCGGCTGCACTTCAGTGAGACCACGGCCAATAACATGAGGAAGAAGGGGAAGCCTAATCCTGATCAAAGGTAAGCTTCCACTTGGTGGTTTTTATTTAAGATTCCCAGTGCTATTTTTCAACATAAAGGCTCTCGGGGCAATAATCAAGTGTGTATAATAGAAACTAATGTGGAATTTAAAATGATTTTTGTGGTTAGGGGATTCCATCAAGGGACACCCAAATTCAAGATCTATTTTCAGCTAAGTCACTCAGTCGTTCTCTTGTGCCCAGCCTGCTTCACAAACTTTTTTGTGCTATGTAAATGGCCATAAATAAGGATAGCTCACTATTGATTCCCCAAGTGCCTATCTACATGCCTCCATCTGTACCTCAGTATCTTCTTACAACTGAGTCACCTGAGGATAGCCTAGGGTGCTACATTCTGGAAGAAGGTACGATCTCAAAAAACTGTGTAGACAAAGCAGGAAATGGTGAAGTTTATTGAGGAGGCAGCCAACAATCTTGTGGTTCCAGTTGATTCTGCTGGTTTCCTTTGGGACCATCTCTTCAGTCTGGCCCTGACTTATTCACTTTCTTTTTAGTCCTCTTGTGTTTGCAAGATCAGAACTCTTGTCTTCTGCAGCCACTTTTCTTTTTTAAATTAGTTGGTTGATCTCATTCAGTACAAAGCCCTGAAATTGATCAGCCTGTGCCTGTAACTGAAAGTGTAATTGAAAAGGCTTGTCTCTTGCAATTCTGTACAGTAGCCTCTTGGCAGGGAATGGCTTTCCCATGCTGCTGCTGCTGCTGCTTCCAGGGAAGCTCTGGCTACATCCTTCTCTTCATATTATCCATCCTGAAATTTAGAAATTTATAGTTTATAGATCCACACTGATTTCCCATAGCTAAGCCTTTCTCAGAGTCAGGTTCTTCAGTGGGACTTATTCCATGATTGCATCTCAGTGGCAGAAATCCAGGATGGCAGTCAAGAGATATAAAATAATGTACAGTATGCACCCAGCTTTTTGCGGCATCTAAGGGTCCATAAGTTGAATAAGCCGTCTGTTGAGCCAAGGTTTCAAGAAATAATAATAGTAAAAATGGTCAATTGTTAATGCACTGGGAAAGAAAAAAAAATGATAATGCATAGAAAAAGCAGAGTTTTGTGAGTGCCAAATGGAGGAGGCTGAAATTTCAGCTAAGGGAACCACCAATCATTGCCCTTAGACTGCTTCGCACTAAAACTGTTAGGCAGAAATGCAACACAGATTTATTTCAAGTGTGTGGTAAAGACATTATATTTTAGGGGATTCAAGATTCAGAGTGGCATAATTTCCTGCCAGCTGTGGGATAAGATAGGAGAGGAACATGGCAAAGCAACTATTTCAATGTTGCTTTAGAAAATACATGCTCTTCACACTGCTAGAATTCCCCAAATTGTTTATAGCTGTTCATTTGAAATAACGCTACACTTTTCTGTGAGAAGGACTTGCCAGACCCATACAGGGAGCTTTATTTTCACTGTCAGTGCTATACAAAGTAGAATATCTGTATTGCCCTCTTGTTTCTCAAGCACAGATCTCAGATTGTTCTCTTTTTTAAGACAAAGGAACAAAACTGAATTGTGAAATGTGTGATTGAAATTTAATACTTCACATTTATTTTTGTATTTGTAAAATTGTAACATAATATAGTATCTTGATAAGCAAGTAGGCTTAGAAAAAAAATCAACTTTGAATGCTGTAATATTTTGATATGACTAGTTGATGTTGTGCCTTTTCATTTCTGAAAAAGAGTGGTTCTCACTTGTGCTGGGCTAGGTTTATCTCTGATGTCTGTTCAGGAAAAAGAACACAGAATGATGAGCTCTGCAAAGCTGTCTAGTAGGGATAATTTTAAATGAACTGCTGGGGTTTTTCAGTTCTATTTTAAACCAGAGGTGATATTCAGCAGGTTCTGACCAGTTCTGGAGAACTGGTAGCAGAAATTTTGAGTAGTTCGGAGAACCGGCAAATCCCACCTCTGACTGGAGATTTTACAGTATCCTTCCCCGGTCACGCCCACAAGGCCACGCCCACAGAACCGGTAGTAAAAAAAATTTGAATCCCACCACTGTTTTAAATGTATTTTGATAGTCTGCCACCATACCTGGCTGGTTTTCAGAGCCATTATCATACACTGAATTAATTGGTTCTCAGTATGTTGTGAATGCAATTTAGTTCTAAGTTGTTCAAATGTCTGACAATATTTTCTTTATTTTATTAAGGAATGGAATAAATTTGAAAATTATTCAAATACTATTGAAAAGTATTAAAGAATGGAATATTTTGATAAAGCAATCAGTATGTTTTTAGAAAATCTCATTTTTCACATGTACTATGTTTCCATCTGTGAATTGGGGAAAGCCTATGCTGATCTGGTCCTGTCTTGTTTCAGATACTTCATGTTGGTTGTGGCTTTGCAAGCTCACTCTCAGAACCAGAACTACACTTTGGCTGCTCATATCTCAGAGCGCATCATTGTTAGAGTAAGTCTATTCCCTTCCCTTGCAACATATCCTTCTATGAGTGTGAACATTTAAGAGCTTTATACTTCGCTTGACAAGAGTTCCTCCATGTTCTTAACCCCAATATCAGCCTGCCCCTTGTTCCACAGTGTTCTTTGCTTTTCTTTGCTTTCCTCATTCACAATACCCTCTACCCTAATCTTGTTTAGCTTTCTAAACTCTGACTCTCTCTTCTACGCAAAAAGAAGGGCTTTGGCAAATACTTATATTAAAGGAATTCCAGTGCTTTCAAGGCTTATAGGTTCAAAGTAAATATTACATGCAAGGAAAGCAGGTTTATTCTTGGAGGGTAACTAGGAATATTAAACAATAGGTTTTACAAGTGATGTCTACGTTAATGTAATTGTATTAGCGATAACCAATACCACCAGTTATCAAATTTTCCTGTTCTGTGACACAAACCGCAAGGCAAGTCTTATGGATCAGATGTTCATCAGTTTTGTTGAAGTTAAACCTGCTCCAGAGATTGCACTTTTGCAGACATATGCCTTAAAGTTCTCAAAAAGTAACGTTAAGTACAGATGAAGGAAACTCGTAGAAGTATTATGACTGATTTCACCTGGGGCATACTTTATTCAAGTGGGGATATTTCTGCCCTTTTGGCTTTGGAATATTTCTGAAACTGATGCCCCCAAATAGGGCCAACTAATCAAATTTCTTAGCAATCTGTTTAACAATCTGAATAAACAAGTGGAATGTTTCTTCGGGTTTAGATGGAATAACCTTGGGGAAAGGCAAGTGGAAAAGTCAGCTGTGGCTCTTTCACTGCCAAAGTTAGTAAGCAAGTAAGGAGGACACTAAGCTGTGACTTTGTAGTTGGCTGTCTCCGCCCTGCTGCCTTTTTAAGTGCTGTGTCCATTTCCTCTAGCAAAGGGCCGGTTCGGGGGTAAAACACAAACAGAGGGCAGACGGGGACCCCGGAGTCTGCAGACAAGTAAGTAACATGCTGACTTATGCAGTCTCCGGGGTGGTGGGGGTGGGGGACCTTTGTTGTAGATTAGTGGGTAAAGCAGATGAGAACAGAATTATATCCAGGGGGCTTAGCTGCATCCAATTTGATCAATCAGGGTAAGGATCTGTCTGCATTAGCACAAATATGTGGTTTGGTTATACATTAGAAGCACCTGTGAATTGCATATATTTCCATACCAGTAAGATTGTGCAATGTATACACAATTGCATCAGAAGCAATATTGTACCTTGGAAAGAGATGCATTTGCTGCATGGTGTATTTTTAGTAATTGTCTGTATGATAATAATAGTTAGGTAATATCACTAATTTACAGTTGTATGTTAGGGGTTTTTTTTAGCTTGATTTTTTTGTATGCATGGCAAGCAAAATATAAGCAAAAAGCAACAACTGTGTAACAGTAAAATCATAAAAATGTATGTAATAATTAAAAGGAACTAAAATTGAAGATTTCAAAATTAGTATAGTGTTAATATAGAACTAGCTTGAACGTTATCCTATAATTAGATCTAGTCCATATGGAAATACACTATTCTCATGTTTATAGTACATAAAATATTGCTATTAAAGATAGGATTCAAGAGATGGGTTCCTTGTTGATTTTTAAATAAAGGCACCCCCTTGCTTGAGAGTGATTAGAATCTAAACATCTTAGGATAGCCCGTAGATGCTAGTATATGTGAGAGAGATGTGAGTAATTATATTCGTTAATATTGACAACAAAGATACTTTGCTGCCTGAAGTAAAGCCTAAATGGTGCCCATTCCCAGACCCATCTGTAGCCGCCATTCTTCCCCTTCAAAGCTGAGCCATTCAAGCACCATTCTGAGTCTTTATGTATGATACTTTGAAGCAGATGTCCTCTGAAGCAAATTACTTCTGCCCAGAAGAATGAAAAAAATGGAGCTTGCCAAAGGCCACCAGGTGGCTTTGTGGCACAGTACCTTCTGGAAAAAATATCCTTGGAAATCTGTAAGACAGATTTTATTAAAGTAATAGGACATTTGGATTGTAAGAGTATAAGGAATGAAGAAGCTTCTTTTTCTATTGGAGATCCAATACTCCTAAACGTGGAAGGTTGAAACAGTGATCTCCCAGTTTTTCCCTGAAAAAGTAAAAACATGGCCTTTGTAAATTATATTGAAGCATTTTAAGCTTTGTTCCATTTTATTTCGTTGTACTGCTTTTAATTTGTATGGTTTATTTTAAAGTTGTTTTTTCATTGGTTCAGTTGTTTAAAACACTAAAGGTTTTTCTTTGGACCAATAATTATATAGAAATGCTTCATATGAATAAAATCATTATTAACTCAGTTTAAAATGGCAATAAATTATTCAGCAACTTAGTTGCATACTAAGTTAATATATGTAGGACAAAATATTTTGCTTATCAATGAAAAAGTTGAAATCTCTTTTGAAACACTGTCATCTTTAAAAGTCTCTAGAGATTCTCAGTCATCCAGGTCATGGTGTCCCAAAGGTGCTTTTTCAGGAGGCAACTGGACTTTTTTTCTTGTTTTTTCTTTGAAGATGTTTCTCTTTTCATCCAATAAGCTTCTTTAGCTTCTTGAATGAGAAACAAAAAGTCTTTTTAAAAAATGATAAAAAAACAAGAAAGTCCAGTTGCCTCCTGAAAAAAGCACTTTTGGGACTGACATCTTTACTATTTGAAATCCCACTGAAACATCCCAGGAATCCCTATTTGATGTACAACTCTGCATGAAAACACAGCATTTAAGCCATGTATCCTAGAAGTCTAATTGCCAGGGATATGTAGAATAAAACTAATACTAGAATCAGCTGGATAGAATATTTATTTTCTGCTGCTTTGCTTATCCTATTGCTCTTTTTAGTAAACTCTGACTAATATTTCAGTTAGTCTCTCAGTTAATATGGATGACAATAATGTCATGATTGTTGAAGGGAGCACATGAGGCAAGAAAGTTGGGTTGTGTGAATTTAAGGGCCAACTTTGGAATCTGTTTTTTGATGGAAATGTACATATTTGGTTAGATGAGTTAATGACAAAAATGCAAATAAGCATTTGGTGAGCGAATAATGTCTGTATCTGAAGCATGTATATAAAAGAAATAGCACAGGTGAGCAAAAGGAATGAGAAAGAAAATGTCCCTGTGTAGCCTGCTGTTCCTGTTCTTGTCTTGTTAAATGTTCCTGTCTTCTGCTATATGCAGAACTTTTCCTGCCATTGAAAAGCCACAATCTGCTGCCACCTTCCTGGGAGCATGGCTTGGAGCTTCCAGATTTCTCCAGGGCAAAGCAGGTTTAAGTGCTGAGCAACCTTTGGTTTTAAACATGGATTCTTCCTTTTTCTCCGAATTGCTTAGAGGAGCCTGGGTCACCTAAAACTCTTATAGGCTCTCCCTTCACAATCCTACAAGAATTTATTTTGAGCTAGGGATGCTTTTTTACTCTACAGAACACTTTGTTCCCACTAAGACAAGCCTATTTGCAAATGTAACCTTTCTGTTATGAGCTAAGAAAGAAGGTTTATCTTGCTAATTCTGTAAACACACACTGACTCAAGCTCCTTGTGCTGAGTTGGCAAACTAAATCACACAGCCCTCCCTAGTTATAAGCAGTCCACTGTTAGGCTAAAAAACAATTACATTATAAAGTAGGTTTTGACTGAGACCATATCTCTGTCTCTTAACATGGGCAGAGAGTTATGTGTTCTTATCCATGCTGATAATCGTAAGTGCTACAAATTGAGAAATTCCCACAATACTCTATATGACATTGTATAACCTATCTTTCACCTTAACACATGAGTGCACATAAAGTGTAGCTGCCTTCTATCACAATTGTCCATAAAGTATGTCATGTAATACACTTGCAGAAGCTTTGGGCCAAGAAGCCTCTTGTGAAAGACTGCTGACTCCCGTTTCTTTCTTGTTTAACCTCCCTATCAACGAATGGGCTATTGATGCAAATGGATATTTTTCTATTTCTTCAGGAGAAGAGCTTTGTTTGATCCTATAGTGTGCCCTGCTGTAAAACCACTGGATTTTTCTTCTCTGTTTTTCTCAGCCATTTGCAATTGTTGACAGTTAATTCCCAACTCTTCTCTGGATGTCTTTTTTGTAGGCTTCTAACCCAGGTCAATTTGAGAGTGACAGTGATGTACTTTGGCAACGGTCTCAGCTCCCTGACACTGTCTTTCACCATGGCCGAGTTGGCATCAACACAGACCGGCCTGATGAAGCCTTGGTTGTCCATGGCAATGTTAAAGTTATGGGATCTCTTATGCACCCATCAGACATCCGAGTAAAAGATGATATCCAAGAGGTAAGTGTTCACTCCACAAATTATACTCAGTAGGGCATCTGCTTTGAAAATCCACACTTTCACTTTAGATTTCTGGACTGCAACGTTCGTGAGCTCTGAGCAACTAATCCTCATTGCAAGCCAAAAAAAAGAACATTATAGAAATAGGCCAACCTTCGCCTAACACTTGGAATAAGCAGATATTCTAGTCTCAACTCAGGAGGCAAACATACAATGGCAGTTGTTCTGTTTGATACTTCCTGTGTTCTGTCTCATGGTGTGTTTTGTTGTTGTTTTCCTATGCCTTCCCTCATGTCAGGATATGTAACTATAGTTCTAGTTAAGCTTCCATTATTGTACATGGGATTTGCTACACCTTTAACTACATATCAACTTGTCTTTGTAAAATGCAATTGCAAACTTTTGATTTTAATACTTTGTGTTCTATATGGAAGGAAGAGTTCCTAGATTGCTATAAATCTCAGGTTGTAACTTGGCTTCACCTCCAAATTCCCAGTTTGTTTGTTTCTTTTTTAACTTAAAATAATTTCTGAACACGAGAAGAAATGTGTGGATTTGGGAGCTTAGGTACTTAGTCTAATCTTAGAGTTTTAGTTCCAGGCTAATAGTTTAGATACCTACCTAAGTGTGTGTGTGTGTCTGTGTGTTTGTGTGTGTGTGTGTGTGTACACACACTTTTATATTTCTCACTTTCATATTCTAAATATATTTAAATGATTTATATTCCTGCTGGTTTTTATAGAATATACAGTACTTTATTCTGTAAAGGTCAGCACAGATATTAAGCATTACAGCCAGTTATAAAACTGGGCAGGCTTTGCTTCGGGTGGAAATAATACTAAGTCTCCTTGCTTTTTAGAAAATTGAAGTGCTGCCCTTTACTCAAAAGGCTAAATTCTGCTGCTCCGACTGTTAAAATCAATAATATAGAGAACACATAAATACTGAGCTGAAATCAGCAAGTGATTATTTACTGTGTATGCACACTTCCACTACATCATTTCTATTTCTGTCAAATATGGTTAGATATAACTATCTGGTGCCTGAGTACTGAGGACTGCCGAGTACTTTTATGGATTTCTTTTTCTTATAATTTTAGGTAGACACCACAGAACAACTGAAAAGAATCTCCCGTATGCGGCTGGTGCACTATAATTACAAGCCAGAGTTTGCTGCCACTTCTGGCTTGGAGAATACAACTGAGACAGGTACAGGTAATTTTTCTGACCTCAAGCTTAATTTACATTACTGTAGCAAGTATGTCTAAAACTATTGATTACAATTGTTCCATGGACCCTCATATTCTTGGCTTCTCTTTGATGATACTTACTTATTGATTTGGCAATGATGTTATAGTTATATGTGACATTTTATCTGAAGATTTTTTTCTATACTTAGAGAGTGTGTTTTTGTATAATGCCTAGGTATTTAACATTGTACAAGATAGTGAAAAATCATTTACCAAGCATCATTCGTCATGATGTGAAAACTCAGGCCTAATAACTCTTTCTTTACTTAATTTAAATATCAGATAAACTGTAATTGCTATACTTACACCATTTTTTTTCATAGCAAATTATTAAAATGCAGAGTACATTTTTGTGCCTTTGTTCGAACAAAGATGTTGGAATACCTTATGAGCGGATGTTGCAAGATAGGGTGTATGATCACACAATGGTGGATTAATATTTGTTCCGTTTATTTCCTCCTCCCCCTCATCCTCTCCCACTATGGGGCACCTGGTAGATTCTAAATACTTTATGGGTAAAACTGAATTCCTACAAGGAACGCTTAACTGATGACTTTAAAGATATATCCGTACGGATGTGGGATGTGCTTTTTACTTCCCAATCAAGCGTACAGTGTTTTTGAAGGAATCCCATTCAGGTATTAACCAGACTCCATCCAACTTAGCTCCCAACACCAGCCAGGGCCAGCCAGGATCTGTCACCTGTTCAGTTATTTTCTGTAGCACTTTTCATAATGAAGGTATATTCATCAGGCCACTGACTTTAACCAATAGCAATCTAAGCTATTGCTTAAGCTCATCTCTTAGTTGAAGGCATGTAAGGGTGTGGTGAAAGTAATGTGCTTTATGCAAGAGTTCCTGATGCCAAAATCACTCTGGCACACAAATACTATCTTTCTGTTACAATGAGCTTTTCTAGAGGCTATGCTTACACTGAACCTTTTAGCTGTTTCTAAAGTGATTTTTTTAAAATAACTACTTTGCTACAATTGATGCTAACATTTATAAAATAATACATCTGTTTGAATTATACCTTGAATTGTGACTTTTCCACATAAATATTTATTTATTTATTTAGTCAAGCATGCATTTGATAATATATATAAGTATAAACATGATTATTAACACATGAAATAGATATGAATAAAAGGGAACATTAAGACAGGGACGGTAGGCACTTTGGTGTGCTTATGCACGCCCCTTACAGGCCTCTTAGGAATGGGATGAGGTCAACAGTAGACAGTCTGAGGTTAAAGTGTTTGAGGTTAGTGGAAGGAACCACAGAGTCAGGTAGTTTATTCCAGGCATTGACCACTCTGTTGCTGAAGTCGTATTCCTGCAATCGAGTTTTGTGCAGTTTACCCTGAGTTTGTATCTATTGTGTGCTCGTGTATTGTTGATGTTGAAATTGAAGTAGTCACTGACAGGTAGGACGTTGTGATTAATGGATAATTTTATGTACTATGCTTAGGTCAGACTGAAGGTGGTCTGACCTAATATAATATCTTATATTATATTAGATATTATATTATATTATCTATAATATCTTTTATAATGACACTTATTGGGCTCAAAGCTATTACATTTTATGTGGTTTTTTTTTCTGCACAGGTGTTATTGCTCAAGAGGTGAAGGAAATTCTTCCAGAAGCAGTAAAAGATTCTGGGGAAATAGTCTTTACCAGTGGGAAAACTATTGAGAATTTCCTTGTGGTGAATAAGGTGAGTGAAACTCTTGGAAATAAACTAGCAACAGGTAGATTTAATATTCTGAAGAAAACTAAACCCATACAAAATCTGGAAAATACATCTTTTCCCCCATTTTTTTAAAAGTTGCATCTTAGATGTTTTGTTTACTAATGCTTGTTTTAGAAAGTGCCAAAAACTACACTTGCTGGCATGAACTGATGTGAAGGAGAAAACAAAAACAAAAAAATAGGCTGGCTTCTGACAAGAACAAACTGGTTCAAATCATTGCAGGTGATTTGGTGGAGAACCATAAGATAGGGAGTCAGTCTATGTTTCTCAAAAAGCTTTCAGAAGAAAAGAAAGGACAGCTCTTAGTTCTTCCTGGGTCTCCTACATTTAACTTGACTTCAAATAAAACTGCTTATTTTTTATAAGGACGAAGAAGAATTCAATCTAGTGAAAAAGTATGCCAACTATTTTTTCCATATGCAAGTGAATGTCTTGTCCTAACCTAGATGTATGGCAGATTATAGAATAAAATAAGCCCATAAATATCCTTACCTATTGAATGTTTATTCTATTAAAATAAATTGTATACATATTTTAATATTCTATGTCACCCAAAGTAGCCCTGTGGTAAGGTGGGTGGCCAAATAATAATAATAATAATAATAATAATAATAATAATAATAATAATAATAATAATAATAATAATAACAACTATTTTCAAATTTAGTGTATTATAAAGGATTTATTTTGTGAAAATATAGTAAAATATATTTTTGTGATATTTATTTTAAAAAAAATGATATATTAATGCAGAGATGGAATAGATTTGTGAATTAACAAATAGAAGGCTGATATGGACCAAAAAGAGACCACTCCTACATTTCAGTAAATGTACATAAAATGGTTTTATAAACCACACTACAGAGCTGTGGTTATCTGGAAAATACATTTTCATATTTTAATTGTATTTTCCTACCTTCAGTCTTGAAGATAGATATCGAATTTTTGGTTTCTTGAAGATAGATAATCCAATTTTTGCTATCTCTTTCCTTCAGTCTTAAAACTTAGATATTTAATTTTTGATAGTGGTCAAGAGAGCATTTACATGGGTAAAATGCATATGGCATTGCATTCATTCCTAGAGATATCAGGTATGATCAATGGTAAACTACTTGCCCTAATAATAGCAAGAATTGAATGCGTCTCAGAGCTGGCATGTGTTATAATTGGAACCTGAAAAAGTATGAAAATTTCAGCTGGTCCAGAATTTTTTTGTTAAATATTATTGAGACCACATAAAAGATTTTGATTGAATCCTTTAAAGCTGTACATATTGCTTTCTCAAGAAGTCAAGTCTGCCCAGCTTTTAAAATCTGCAGAAGATGACCTCCCAATTCTACCATGATCAAAGCTATACTTGGTGGAATATGGAAAAGGGCCTGTATGTGTCTTTGGAATGCTTTGCAGCAAAGTTTTTTTTTTAATTTACAAAGGTATTTGGCAGGTAAGCTTGTTGCCAATTGAAGTGGATTTTAATTTGATTGGTTGTGGATTGTGTTTTTATTGTAATGTTTGTGTTCAATTTATCTTTCCCTTAGCATTAGCTGCCTTAAATATGATTTGGAGTGGAATGTAGATTCATTGAACTGTACATAAGATTTTTAAGTACTGTCAGAAAGCAATCTTTCTCCAGAAGAGAGAAGAATGGGAGTGAGCAGTGAATTAATGGTACTGTAGACATATGAAAGATACCAACCCAGATTGTTGGAGTTTCATCTTTGAAACATGTGAATATGAGAAACTCAGAAATCAAAGAAGCAGGGGAGGGAAGAGTTTGAGATTGAGATCCTTTTCTCAAGGATGGACTATTGTGTGTCACTGTTACGTAAGTTGCCTCATCACAAAGTCTCTGTATCCACATTTTTCTCTATAAGTGCTGCATAGTGAAAAGATTTTTACAAAAGGTCCACAATGAGGAAAGTGTCTATTAAGTCATTTAGCCTGACCTGTTAAGTTTCTTTTAAAAAAAAAAATACTTGTGAAAACAAAACATCCTCACCCTTTAAAAAACAAAAGACAAAATCACAAGGCAAGGATTTGAGCCCATCAGATGGTCTCTGTATAAAAGCAAACTTTGATTTTGCTCATTGCAGGAGCGTATTTTTATGGAAAATGTTGGGGCTGTGAAGGAGCTTTGCAAATTGACTGACAACCTGGAGAACCGAATTGATGAACTAGAGAGGTGGAGTCATAAACTGGCGAAGCTCAAAAGGTTGGACAGTATGAAGTCAACTGGAAGCTCTGGAGCGTTCAGGTAATACACATACCTGAATTTTAAACATAACTTTTATTCAGCTTTGGATCATAATATGGAGTGGCCACCTGGAGGAAAGGGCTCTTGGCAGATTTAATTCTTTATCACAAAAATAACATATAGGTTGCAATCCTATGACTTAGGAGGAAGCTACATTGAGCACAGTGGCATTTGTAGGTATATTAAGATTTGAACTAATAGAGAAGCTCGTAGAGTTTTGGAATAAGTTCAGGTGTTTTTCCAAGATGAAGATTTAGTTCACTTTCTAAGACAGTAGGAAAGTACTTTTTTTTTCTCCTTCTACCATAAATAAGAACACCATTATGATATTTCTCTAATCCTTAATGAGAAGAGGAAATATTGCACAATTCAAGCCTCTAGACATTATGAGTGTTCATATGAAGCACTGATGGTTAAAGCAGGGGCATGAAGAAGAGAACACAGAAGGGGATCTATAGGGAACATTTATGAACTCTCTCAAGATAAATATGAATGTAAATCTGTATCTTTAAGCCCATTCTTGAAAAGGTCTAGAGTAGTACGTTTTCAAAGAAGGATGGTACAATGAGATAAACAATGCAACAAATTTGAAAACAGGTTCATGCTTTTAATGATTCCTTGTGCAAGAAAATGTATGGTTTGGTGGCTTTCTATTCCCCCCTCCATTCTTTCTATACCCCTAAATATTTTGCTGCAGTTGAGAATACAATCTGTTAAGTGATTCTTCTAAGTCTTGTTTCTGTTTTGGATAAAGTACTCTAATTTGTAAGAGCCCCATTTTGCGGTACATATTTGTGACTCTAAGCATGTATTTTGTTTGTATGTATGTATGTGGCATATATACTCTGTGTGTGTGTGTGTGTATGTGTGCATACACACACACACACACACACACACACACACACACACACACGTATGTATCAGTGGTGGGATTTCAATTTTTTTTACTACCAGTTCTGTGGGCGTGGCAGGGGAAGGATACTATAAAATCTCCAGTCAGAGGTGGTATTTGCCAGTTCTCCAAACTACTCAAAATTTCCACTACTGGTTCTCCAGAACTGGTCAGAACCTTCTGAATACCACCTCTAGTATGTATGTATGTATCTATGTATGTATCTATTTATGTATGTTTGTATGTGTTGCTTTGTTGACAACTGTTAGAAATGGAAGAATAAGCAGAGGGAAAATGCAATAGAAGAAGAAAAATGCTTATTTGGATGCAGTATAACTTTGTTTTTTTAATACAGCCAAGCTGGAAGTCAGTTCAGCCGTGCAGAAAGCATACCGCATAAAAAGAGGCCCCCCAAAGTGGCAGGCAAGGTAACTTTTTACAATTGTCTGATTTTCTGTATTAAAGGTGGTATTGGAAATTTCTGGTCTTTGGTAGGAAATGCAGGAGCTGATTTTCTGATTCTCCTACTGTACAAATTCTGTGATACTTGAAGAGATGGAAGCAAAACATTTGTTTGAGTTCTGAGCAACATCATATTTGTTCAGTGTGTTTATTACACTGTTGAGTAAATGCCAGCCTGTTCTATAAATGTCAATATGCTATCTTCTATCATTTATAAATAAATATGGATTCATATTGCAAATTACTGTGTATTCATCAGCTATGAATATAAATTCATAGTTGATGTGGCTAAGAATTGTATTATGTGTGATACACTCCTTGATGCAAAGTTCTTTTATGAGCTGGTGCTCAAATTCGTTGCATCCAATAGCTTTCTGTTTTAGTGATTTGTAACCTCTGCTTTAAACTACTTGCCTTCCATGTAGCTCTGCCATTCCTTGCCTATTCAATGTTTCCCATTAATTGATTTGTGAATATTTATTTTTCCTTGGGAAGGCTTAGATAAGAGTTCCAAAGATTCCATAGAAAGTACAGTTTGCTAGTAACAAGATGACAAGCAACCTATGAGACTTAAAATTACATTTGTCAAGCAGACATCTGACATGATTTTTCCCTTGGTCTTTATTTTGTGCAGACTCCCACACAAGGCGTCAAAGACCAAGCTTGCATCAGTCAACGTTTTCTGCAAGGTACCATTATTGCTTTGGTGGTCATCATGGCATTCAGGTGAGTGACTCCTTAGGTTGGTGCAGCACTGAGAATGTATGAGAGAGCCTGTTAGCCAGTGAGTGAATAGATATTCATTTATATTAGTTTATTTCCTCTAAAGTTGTTGCCATCTTTTCACCACGTTGCTTTTGTCAGTGAGAATTAGATGGAAATGTGCATCACTAACTAAAATCTACATACTTAAATACCATGTAGCAAAATATCCATGTTTTAATGACGAAGTAAAAACATGCCAAGCTAGAAGTGGTTGCTATAGTTGATCACCATATTTAATCTTTAGAATTAGAGTCCTGAGCAAAGGTTTGTATAGCTCTTCAGAGTAAAGCTAATCTGAACCTTTTTAAAAAGCAGCATTTTTAAGGATAAGGCAATACATTTTTCTAAAATTGAACAAGGACTAGGACTACAGGTGATATATGATAGCAGTGTTCCAATATCTAAGGGGCTGCCACAGAGAAGAGGGGGTCAAGCTATACTCCAAAGTACCTGAAGACAGAACAAGAAGCAATGGATGGAAACTAATCAAGGAGAGAAGCATCTTGAACTAAGGAGAAATTTCTTGGCAGTTAGAACAATAAATCAGTGGAACAATTTGCCTCCAGAAGTTGTGAGTGCTTCAACACTGGAGGTTTTTAAGAAGAGATTGGATAACTTTTTGCCTGAAATGATACAGGGGCACCTGCCTAAGCAGTGGGGTGGAGTAGAAGACCCCCAAGGTTCCTTCCAACTCTGTTATTCTGTTACGTTTTAGCAATGAGTTAAGCTGAGAAAAATTGGAAAGCAGATGGGACTATCCTGGATTTGGGTATAGTTTTCCAGTTTTTCTTGAGGAAATTTGAGACTTTTCTTTGTGTTCTTTTTCCTGGCAATGTTAAAACTATTTTAAGAGCTACACTAGAGTAATGGCAGTTATACTCAGTTGATGCTTTATGGATACTGGAAAAGAGATAGAATAGGAATAAATTTGAGAATAGGAATAAATTTGTGAAGTGGAACTCTTTTTCGATCAAAGTCACTTACATTTGTGAATATAAGTAACAAACAAATATGGCCTGTTAGGGTAGAGCTCCTTTTCTGTCTGGAACACAGAAACTCTATTTTTAGAAACTTTATTTGATGTTTTCTCTTTCATAGTGTGGTGTCCATGTCTACGCTCTATGTGCTAAGCTACCGCAGTGAGGAAGACCTTGTGGATATTGAAGGGTATGTTCCCTCTTCCTGGTCATATGCTTTGAAAAGTAATTGGACTCTCATTTGAGCTGAGGGAAAATTCTTAAGGAATTTTTGATGCAGATGTTTGGGCCAGCCTTACCATTTTGGGATGACAAAAGAATAAGACGGTAAAGGGAATTGAGGGTAGGCATCAGAAGCTGAGTGCCAGCATCCCACATGCTACCTTACCCTGCCAAGCTAATGAATTTCAACTAAGACTGAGGTATGCGTTTAGGATATATCTTTTCATGACCACTTCTTAGAATTTATTACAATTTATAAATTCTATAACAAAGTATATTTGCTATAGAATAACACCACGACATGTGTACAGGTACACTGTTGTACATCGTATTTAAGATCTTTTCTAAATAGTCATTAATAGCAATAGCACTTCAACTTATATACTGCTTCACAGTGCTTTACAGCCCTCTCTAAGCGGTTCACAAAGTCAGCCTATTGTCCCCAACAGTCGGGTCATAATCAGTTTCTAGAACCTGTGCTGTTTTATGTAATTGTCCATATGTCCTAGCTGTATTCCAGTTTGAAACAATGTATTTTGGATAATTCACAGTGGAATGTTAATTACTAAAGTGACCTTTCTCTTTCCCTCCCCTTTGCTTGCTTCTTTTTTGCTCCCACTTATTTATCTCCCCAAATCCCTCTCTGTCTACTCTTCCCATCAAATACTCTTTGCTACACTTTCCCTTGTTCCGTTTCTCCTTTCCTCTTCTGTTTTTGGTGCCTTGTAGCTCTTTTGCTGTGCCTACTTCTTGCCTTCTGGCTCTTTTTCAGCACAGAGGTCCTGGCGTCCCAGTTGCTCTCTGTCCATGGTATGGTCCTACTTTTTCAATATGCTGCAATACATTTGTTCTATTCTTTCAAATCTGCCACCTTGTATTTTTATGCATTCTCCCTTCTTTTTATATCTTGTCTGCATTTTAGTGTTGCTTCTCCTCAACAAAGGCGAACAGGGAAAAAGAGTTTTTGTAAATTGATATACTGAAACCAAGCTTAAATAATATGTTAAAGTCACAATTAGTTTGAATGTGCAAAAACATTCATGACATTTTTCATAACATGAAAAATAGGAAGATTGAAAGTGCAGTTCTTAATTGCAAGAAATCATCCTCATCGGACCGTTTCTATGCTTGCAAAATATGATGTGCAGTTATAGGCTTATGTGGCTAAATGCTGAATAATGTAAATGGGTGTCATCAGGTAGAAAACATGAACAGCTAGCAGACCAGGGAGGATTGTTTTGGTTGGAACCAGGACCATTTATCAAAATCTTAATTGTGCTTGTAATCTCATCCTAAAAGTTTTCTGTTATCAGAATTTTTTGTTTTCTAGTGGAAAGGGGTGGGCTTAGAACTGATTTAAAGCAATGTTAGCTCATTTGCCCTTTGTTACTTTGTCAAACTATGCTCATATATTGATCTCTATTCGTTCAGAACAATAATTCTACTTTCCATCCTGTTTTCTGACCCCTTTTTATTTTTGCAATGGTTTTAAGTTGTCTTCAGATTTCAAATGTGACCTCATGCGCAGCCTCTTATCTTATTGCATCTCTTTCCTTTGCTATACATCTGTATCTGTTTTATATCAAAACTTCATGCCTGCATTTTTCTTGTATTTTAGGTCCAGTCAGAATATAGATAAAAATAAGATGACATTTTCCACTACTGCATCATCAAATACCCCTGACAATGCTTCCCCTTCAGAGAATGGTAGGTACCAGTTGTTCCCATCCCCAGGTGCAGTTTAATCAACTATAAGCAATTTCAAATCATTATTTCAATCTGAATGCCTTAAAAGTAATTTGAATACAATTTGTTTTCTTTTCTGCTGACCTTGAAATGAGACAGCCATAATGCAAGGACTGATTGTAAAGTTACTTTTTAGCATGGTTGTAATATCAATGGTCACTAAAAAAGACAGTCATTAAGCAAGGACTACTTGTAGGGTTATTGTTCTGACCCAAGCCTCATTCAAAGCAAACAAACACCAAACAGAGATAAAAGCAAAACCTTTTTAATGCTTCTTTGTGAATTCTGTTCATTCTCAGTAAAACACTATTAAAAACTAATTGTCCCAGATAAGAACAAGCCTTGCCAAGGTTGTGCAAGGCTGCCAAGAACACTAGAGCAAATTACAAGGAAATATTCAAAACCAAAAGTCTCCAAACACAAACCAGGATAGTCCAAACTTCCACAAGACTTGAAGTGCAAGAACTTCTTTGCTACCTGCAAAGAATCCCACCTCTGAGGGCTGGCTTTTATCCCTTAAGGGAGGGGCCATCACCTTGCAGCCTTACTCCTAAGTCACCCATGCAGCTGCAGCTGCTCTTTCCTTCGAGCAGCCCTGCCCTCATACGCACTTGGCACAGGCTCCTCGGGGATCACTGCTGCCAGCCTCCACAATCTCCGAAGCCAGCATTCCACTCTCCGATGGTCCTGGCCCCATCCCTGCATCACACACAGGCCCCTCATCTGAGTCCTCGTTCTCCGAGACCTCAGCCATCTGCACCTGCTGCCGACGAACCACAACAGTTATAGACTGCTCACAAGCTAGAGTTTTTTTTAAAAAAGACTAGTTTTACTGCAATTTGAAATAAATTGTCTCAGTATTATAGATAGTTACAGATAAAGATTACAGATAATCAGAGTTGGAAGGGACCTTTTAGATCAGGGGTCCCCAACCACTGGTCCGTGGACTGGTACCAGTCCGTGGAACAAGTCTTACCGGGCCACTGGCTTGCTGGGCGCCGCCATCTTGTTTTGATGAAA